TTTCCTACAGTATGGGCTGCACAAAGGTGCAGGAGAAAGCTTTTCTGCAGCTCTGGGCTGCACAAATTTGAAGCAGGCACTAAATAATTTAAAATAATTCATTTGAAATAAAAATTCCATGCCAATCGTGAAGCTCTTCCATCAATCATTCAATTGTGTGTCATGTCCAATCTTATTTTGAAAAACCGCAGTAGAGCGATTCCGCGATAAACGAACCGTGACATAGTGAGGGACTACTGTAATCAGAATAACAATAGAAATTTATCCAATATTAATCTTCTTCTTCTTTCGGCTTTTCCCTCTTCAGGGGTCACCACAGCGAGTCATCCTCCTCCATCTCACTCTGCCCTCTGCATCCTCTGTCCTCACTTCAACTACCTCCATGTCCTCTCTAACTGCATCCATATATCTTCTCTTTGGCCTTCCTCTTTGTCTTTTTCCTCACAGCTGCATTTCTAACATCCTTCTACCAATATACCCACTATCCCTCCTCTGGACATGTCAAAATCATCTCAGTCTGGCCTCTCTAACTTTATCTCCCAGTTGTTCAACCTGTGCTGTATCTCTGATGATCTCATTCCTAATCTTATCCATCCTTGTCACTCCTAAGGAGAACCTCAACATCTTCATTTCTGCTACATCCAGTTCTGTCTCATGTGCTTTTGTTAATGCCACTGTCTCCAGACATAGCTGGTCTCACAACTGTCTTGTAAACTTTTCCTTTGACATTTGCTGACACCCTTTTGCTACAAATCACTCCTGAAACCTTTCTCCATCCACTCCATCCTGTATGTACTCTCTTTTTCACCTCTTTACAACACTCCCCATTTTCCTGGACAATGGACCCCATGTACTTGAAGTCCTGCAACTTTGTGACCTCTGCTTCTTGTAGCTCGCTGTTCCACCAGCCTCCTCTCGTTCACAGACATGCACTCTGTCTTAATACGGATGCCTTTCATTCCTCTACATTGAAGTGCATACCTCCACCTTTCCAAGTTATTTTCCACCTGTTCCCTGTTTTCACCACAGATCACAATGTCCTCTGCAAACATTATAGTCCATGGGGATTCCTGCCTGACCTCATCTGTTAGACGGTCCATCACCAGAGCAAACAAGAAGGAACTCAGAGCTGATCCTTGATGCAAGCCCACCTCCACCTTGAAGCTATCTGTCACTCCTACATCACATCTCACCACTGTCCTGCTATCCTCATACAGGTCCTGTACCAGTCTAACATACTTCTCTGCCACTCCAGATTTCCTCATGCAATACCACACCTCTTCCCTCGACACTTGCACAGTGGAGTTCTTTCTGACCCTCTCTGTACTTCTCCATCAGCATTCTCAAAGCAAAGATGGCATCTGTGTTGCCCTTTCTTGGCATGAAACCATACTGCTGCTCACAGTCACATCTCGTTTGTCTTGCTTCCAAAACTCATTCTAAGATCTTCATTGTGTGGCACATCAACTTAATTCCTCTGTAGTTTCTACAACTCTGTACATCATACTTGTTCTTAAAAATGGGCACAGCACACTTCTTCTGCATTGCTCAGGCATTTTCTCACCCTCAAATATACCATTGAAAATTTGAGCCAAAACCTCACTGCCATCTCTCCAAGACATTTCCAAACCTCCACTGGTATGTCATCAGGTCCTACTGCCTTCCCCTTCTTCATTCTTTTCAGAGCTTTCCAAATGTCACCCTCACTAATCTTTCCCACCCTGGCTCACAGTATCTATGACCTCTACTCTCTTTCTCTTTCATTCTCTTCATTCATTAGCTCAAATTACTCCTTCCATCTTCCCGTCACACTCTTTTCACTTTTTAGAACATTACCATTCCTATCTTTAACAAGCCTAACCTGCTGTATATCCTTTCCAGCCTGATCCCTCTGCCTTGCCAATCGGTACAAGTCTTTATCGCCATCTTTAATGTCCAGCCTCCCATTATACAAGCTGGGCACCTCGCACTGTCAACAGAAGTGGGCTCATAAGTTTTCTGTCAGAGGAGAGCTCCTGTGCAGGGGTCAAAATACAGTACTAGTACTCTTGAGATGAGTTGAAAATGTCTTCAATGACTCTGTGACTATTTTGAAAGAAACTTTGGCATCCACATTTTTTTGATCATGTTCAAAGTTGAAGTGGCAAAACTGCACCTATGCGACCACTCTCTGCAAAGCTTTTCTTTCTGCAGCTGTGCATCCTCCATGCTACACATTGATGTTGGAGCTCAGGATGCTCTCAGATCCTCCTATGGTTGGGGTGTGTGTGTGTGTGTGGGGGGGGGGGGGGGGGCTGTTTTTTCCATCTGAAGTCCACGACCAACTCCTTTGTCTTCTTCACATTGATTTGAAGGTTGTTCTTCTTGCACCAGCTCTCCAAGTGTTCCACCTCCTTCCTGTAGCTGGACTCATTGTTGTTTATGATGCATCCAATCACCCAGTCACTGTTGTATCATCTGTAAAATTTTCAATATGACAGCCTGGATGAGTAGGTGCAGTCATACGTGAGCAGAGTGAACAGGAGAGGGCTTAACACACATCCCTGAGGGGAGCCAGTGCTGAGTGTTATGATGGAGGAGCAGAAGTTATGGATCCTCACAGGCTGTGCTCTGTTTGATAAGAAGTCTAGTACCCAGTTGCAAATGGAGGGTCTTAGTCCTAGTGTGAGTAGTTTGTCCATCAGGGTCTGGGGGATCATGGTATTGAAAGCAGACATGAAGTCCCCAAAGAGTGTACAGACATAGGATTCCGGCTCCAGGTGGGTGAGAGCAATGTGGACCACAGAGGAGATGGCATCTTCTGTTGATCGATTGTCACGGTATGCATACTAGTGAGGGTCCTCGCTGATGTTTATGGTTGTTTTGATGTGGGTCATGACCAGTCTTTTGAAGCATTTAGCAACTATCGGGGTGAGGGCTACTGGCCAATAGTGATTCAGACCAGTCACTATAGAGCTCTTTGGGACTGGGATGATGGTGGTGGACTTCAGACAGGTGGGAACTGTTGCCAGGGTGAGTGTTGAGTTAAAGATCTCAGCCAGCACCTCACAGAGCTGATAGGCACAGTCTTTCATCACTTCCCCATGGATGTGGTCTGGGCCAGTTGCTTTGTGAGGATTAATCCTCCTGTAAGTACTCCTCACTTCAGCTGAGGTCACGTTGAGAAACTCTTCTTCCAGTGGTGAGGTGAGTCTGGTGCTGGGTGGTCTGTTCAGGTCTACAAAGCATGTGTAGAACTTGTTGAGGGTATCAGACAGTGATGAGTCCCTAGGGCATTGTGCACCTCTGCCTTTATAAGCTGTTATACACTTAATGTCCATCCACATGCTCCGTGGGTCTTGTGAGGTGAATTGACCCTGGATCCTCTGTGCATATGTGACCTTTGCTTTCTTAATACTAGCTACCAGCTCTTTCCTTGTCCTTCTCAGCTCCTGTGAGTTGCCAGACCTGAAGGCAATGTCCCTGGCTACCAGCAGGATGTGAATCTCAGCATTCAACAATGGCTTCCTGTTCGGGTAGCTCTTAACATATCTGACGGTGGTGATGTCATCAGTACATTTGCTATGTACCCCAGGACTGAGGATGTGTATCACTCCAGCTCTAGCTCTTCTTCATTTACAGCAGCTTCTCTGAAGACCTGCCAGTCTGTGCTTGCAAAACAGTCTTTCAGTATGAAGTCACTATTCTTCACCCAACTTTTAACTTTTCTTTGTATTGGTCTGGAGCGTCTCAGTGGGTGGAAGTAAGCAGGGACCAAGAAGATGGAGATATGGTCAGAAAGTCCTAGGTGGGGGCAGGGTGCGGCTTTGTATGCATCTTGTACATTGGTGTAAACACGGTCCAGTGTGTTGTTTTCTCGTGGAGGTATGGCAACATGCTGATAAAATCTTGGCAGGGAGTCTTACAGATTTATGTGATTAAAGTCACCAGCCACCACGAAAAATGCCTCAAGGTTGCGAGCTAATATTATCATGCAGCTCTTGCCGAGCGTCTATAATATTAGCATCCGGGGCTATGGAAACAACTGTTATGAGCACTGCTGTGATCTCATGGGGTAGATAATGTGGTCAACATTTCACTGTTAGCTGCTCTAAAGCCTTGGAGCAAGAGCAGTTTATCAGAGTACAGTTTCTGCACCAACCTTTATTTACGTAGATGCACACTTCGCCTCCCCGTGACTTTCCCGTTAGCTCGCTGCAGTGGTCCACTTGAAAAAAAAAGTTTGTTGTCCAGCTGGAACACTGAGTCTGGCATGTCGCTGTTAAGCCATGATTCCGTGAGACAAAGCACTGCACATTTCCTCATCTCCTCTGAGGCTCTTTCAGATTAAGCAATTCCATTTTGTTGTCCAAAGAGCGGACGTTCGACAGAAAGAGAAAGGGTACCTGTAGTTTGCCAACCTTAGCCCTGCAACCTCTCTTCTTCAGCTGGGAGCAGCGCCTCCTCTTCCCGTTTGAGCGTCCCTGCTGAAGCTTCCAGGCAGATGACTGTAAGATCTGCATTCTTTCAAGCATAGATTTGAGATCATTGCTGATCACTGCTGTATTCCATGGTAAATCCTCTCTAATTCTCATCAGTTCGGTTCAGCTATAATTCACATGCATAAAACGTGCGGAGTCATGCTCGGTGTCGATTTCAAAACTTCTAAAAGCTGGGATCGCACCGGGAGCCAGTGAAGCTGCTGCTCCTGAGAGTGCGGCCATCTTGGCACACCAAGATTAGTTTTATTAGTTAGTTTTATTGTATTGTATTGTATTGTATTGTATTGTATTGTATTGTATTGTATTGTATTGTATTGTATTGTATTGTATTGTGTTGTTTAATTTATTGGCACACCAAGATTAATATTATTACTTACCATAGATTTATTGTAAGAATAATATGGTTAAAATGTTTTTATCATTTTCATTTGGAACATTTTTACATTTCAGTTGACTTACTCGGCTGTATAATTCCTAACAAACACAAAGATAAGAATATTTTTTTCTGTTTTTGTTTAGGAGGTCTGGAAAGAACTGGCAGTATAGTTCGTGTAGATGCCCACCCAGAGTCCAGACAAAACAAACCGGTGGTAAAGCCTCCTAGTACTGATGGAAGTGGCTCGTGGCGATGGAAACCACCAGAACAGCGAGCATCACTGCGTCAGTCTACGTTTGTCCTGAATGACCTGAACAGACACACAGACAGCTGTGATTCGCTGAGGGACAGTAGCTCCATGGATGGAAGGAGGAGCGTGACAGGAACTGAATCAGAAAGTGAATGTGGTGGGGATGCATGTGGAGGAGGAGTTGCATACACCAACTATCCACGAGTTGTGTACCCTTTGCACCCCCTACATCCAAATAATCCTAATAATTTCCAACATTCTAGTTTTAATCCCAACAATCACAGTAATCCAAACTTTAATAATGTTCATCCTAATTTCAATCCCTGCTCTACCAACTCCAACATGACAATCCCTCCTCCTGCCAACTTTGCTCCACCTTTCCATCCCCACCCTCAGGCTATCACTACTATCAGGGTCACCCCAGTGGAGGCATCAGCTGCCAGCACTGATGGAGGCTCAGACTCCCAGTCAGTCGCCTCGTCTAGTCGTGAGTCCACTCTTAGGAGGAAGGAAAGCAGTAACAATGTCCCAGACCGAGGACCTACCCCCGACCTCCAAAACCACCACCGTTCCTGTGATGACACCAACCGTCTCGACCATGACAGCAGCAACCGTTTCCACGAAAACCTTCGAAATTTTCAAGAAAATCCCATCCAGCCCAGTTTCCTAAACAGGCAGATGCAAGGTATATTTGCACGTCCAAGCCCAACCCCTCCCCCTACCTTACCACGCCCCATCCTGACTCACACTCCACCACCTAATTTTGGCTTGGCCTACAAAGAATGACTGAGTTAAGTCCAATCAAGGAAACCATTGGTTACGTTGCTTGGGCCAACGCCCAGAACTACAAAGTCCATCTACAAAGCAGTGTCTGCTTCTAGTTTAAGGTCTAAAAGGGTTTGGTTCCACACTCATCTGTTCAGTTGGTCAGTTAGACAACAGGCTTGAGATACATTTTGGTTAATAGACCATGAAGTGTACAGACACAATTAACCAAGGCCAAGAGTCAGGACATTCTGTGTAAGAAGTAAGTTTGAGTCTATTTCTTTTTTTTTAAAGTGTGTTATTAGTAATTATTTGCATATTTTTTAAATCCAAGACTGCTGGAGACATTGGACAGATTTTTGTAAATGACAAACAATGGCTAAATGGGCTAATTTAACAATTGATCATTTCACTCGACCAACAAACAGAGAGAGAGGGAATTATTTGATAGTGGTCAAACCTTTCCAGCAAGGATTCGTTCAGCCTAAAGACTGTTATCTTATCCAGCTGTCAGATCAGGTAGGGCTGCAATAACAATACATTTATAAATATACAGTACTCCCAGTTTCATACTGTAGCTAAACACAGAAAACATGTCAACATGTACACTTTACATTTAAAGCCCATTTTTGGGATGTGTTTGTACATAAGTGAGTGCAATGAAACAGGAAATCAAAACCATGGTCTTAATTATTATTGGCAGAGCCCCTTTTATTGTTGATGATTGTAGTGTGGTTGTGTTGGCTTGGATTATATAATGTGATTATTATTAAGTTAAACATGCACCTTTTCCTATAAATGCTACATTTTTATCATGTGCTGTATATTAATGTAATTGTGTAGTGGATGTATTGCACATGAAAAAAAAACATTTAGAAACACACTGAATGCCAAAGATATGACAAAATATATTTTTAACCAGCCTAATTTTATCTGTTGATTGGGAAAGAATTTTAAAAAATCTTTGAAAATACATATTTCACAAGTAAAAAGGTTTAAAGGGATTAATAATGATGTTAATATATCTTAAAATGATAGAATATCATGCTAATATTTATTCAGCAGAGCATAAGACAGAAATAAAACATTAACATTTAAGAGGAATGTTAATTTCAGCAAAAATAAGTGAACACTTGCAGTCTTCAGTTAGTCTCTCTGCAGAGTTTATACAATATACTACAATAATTTTATAAAAAACTTGTAATACACACTGTACTTTCAAATTTAGTTGTGTTTACTTTGAAGAACTAAAACATAAAGATAATTTTTACTGTAAAACTATGAATTTTTTCAAATATAAAGTATATAAATATTGAATGTACTGAAAGCAAAGTGAAAATCTCACAACTTATGTCTAATTTCATGAAAAATAATGTTTGGATTCTTTAGCATTGCCCTGCTGTCCGTACAGAGGCTTCAAAATGCCTAATGAAATAATCAGAATGTTACAACTTCACATTTTTTTATTTAAAATAATTGATAGTTACAAATAGTTTTTGAAGCATATAAAGAGAATTGTATTTTTTAAAACAGTGGGATTCATTTTTAACTTTTTTGTCCGCTAGAACATTATATTCAGAATTTAACATGCTCCATTATACATTAAATCAAACACCACTTTAATGGGGACGTCTTGGGGGTCAGTGGGGTTATTTCCCAGGTGGAAGATCAGTGATTCCATCCTCAGTCCCTCCAATGTGTCTTATAGGGTTTTTTTCCTCTGACGGTTCCAGTGCTAAACCAGGACTGGTGCTAGAGCGGATTCCTAACTGCTTCAAGTTAGAAACCTGTTTGGGTTTCCACAGCAAGAGAGCCATCTTGGCACTGCATCATTAGGTCACATTATACGTCTCTTCCAGTAAACAATTGCTCCTTTGCTAGCTGTATTCTAAGTTTCTGTGGGTGACAGAGCAACAAGGTTTGTGTATTAATTCCTGCAAACAAATGTCCTAAAATCTTTCATCTATTTTATAAACGCATGTAACAAACAGCTGCTGTTTTTGAACATCCATTTCAGATCTCCGAGCACATTTGTGAATGCTGCTGCAAATAGGTTATCACAGCATTCCAAACAAAAACTATCAACATGTGGTGAGATTAATAATCAGTGTTCATCCATCCATCCATCCATCCATTTTCTTCTGCTTATATGGGGTTGGGTCATGGGGGTAGCAGCTTAAGTAGGGAGGTCCAGACTTCCCTCTCCCCGGCCACTTGGGCCAGCTCCTCTATGGCAATCCTGAGGCGTTCCCAGGCCAGCTGAGAAGCATGATCCCTCCATCATGTCTTGGGTCTTCCTCTGGGTCTTCTCCCGTTGGGACATGTCTGGAACACGTCACCAGGGAGGCGTCCAGGAGGGGTCCTAACCAGATGCCCGAGCCACCTCAACTGGCTCCTCTCGATATGGAGAAGTAGCAGCTCTACTCTGAGTCCCTCCCGGATGACCGAGCTTCTCACCCTATCTCTAAGGGAGAGCCCAGACACCCTGCGGAGAAAACTCATTTTGGCCGCTTGTATCCGAGATCTTGTTCTTTCGGTCACGATTCAAAGCTCATGACCATAGATGAGGGTAGGAACGTAGATCGATTGGTAAATTGATAGCTTCGCCTTTTGACTCAGCTCTCTCTTCACCACGACAGACCTGTACAGCACCCGCTTCACTGCAGATGCCGCACCTATCCCTCTATCACTCTCTCGCTCCATTTTTTCCTCATTTGTGAACAAGACCCCAAGATACTTGAACTCCTCCACTTGGGGCAGGACCTCCTCCCTGACCCGGAGAGGGCACTCTACCCTTTTCCGGCTCAAGACCATGGCCTCGGATTTGGAAGAACTGATTTTCATCCCGGCTGTGTCACACTCGGCTGCGAACCACTCCAGCGAAAGCTATAGATCACGACCTGATGAAGCCAATAGGACCACATCATCTGCAAAAAGCAGAGACGCGATCCTAAGGACACCAAAACAGATCCCCTCAATACCTTGTCTGCTACTAAAAATTCTGTCCATAAAAGTTATTAACAGAATCTGTGACAAAGGGCAACCTTGGCGGAGTCCAACTCTCACCGGGAATGAGCCCGACTTACTGCCGGCAATGCGGACCAAGCGCTGACACTGGTCATACAGGGACCTAACAGCCCGTATCGAAGGGCCTGGTACCCCATACTCCCAGAGTACCCCCCACAGGGTTCCCCGAGGGATGCGGTCAAATGCCTTCTCCATGTCCACAAAGCACATGTAGAATAGTTGAGCAAACTCCCACGCACCCTCCAGGACCCTGCTGAGAGTGTAGCACTGGTCCAGTGTTCCATGACCAGGACAAAAACCGCACTGCTCCTCCTGAATCTGAGGTTCGACTATCCGATGGACCCTCCTCTCCAGAACCCCCGAATAGACCTTACCAGAGAGGCTTAATAGTGGGATCCCCCTGTAGTTGGAACACACTCTACGGCCCCCCTTTTTGAATAGGGGTACCTCCACCCCAGTCTGCCAATCCAGGGTAACTTCCCCCAATGTTCACTCAATATTGCAGAGTCATGTAAGCCAACACAACCCTACAACATCCAGAGCCTTAAGGAACTCCGGGCGAATCTCATCCACCCCTGGGGCCCTGCCACCGAGGAGCTTTTTACCCACCTCGGTGACTTCAGCACCAGAGCTTGGAGAGCCCGACCCAGCGTCCCCAGGCTCTGCTTCCTCAGTGGAAGATGTGTCAGTGAGATTGAGAAGGTCTTCAAAGTATTCTGCCCACCGACCCACGACATCCCGAGTTGAGGTCAGCAGCACATCACCCCCACTATAAACAGTGTTGGTGGTGTACCGCTTTCTCCCTCCCGCGATGCCAGATGGTGGACCAGAATTGTCTCGAAGCCGTGTGAAAGTCATTCTACATGGCCTCTCTGAACTCCTCCCATGCCCCAGGTTTTGCCTCAGCGACCACCCGAGCCTCATGTCGCTTGGACTGCTGGTACCTATCAGCTGCTTCCGGGACCCCACAGGCCAAAAAAGCCCGATAGGACTCCTTCTTCAGCCTGACAGCATCCCTCACCGATGGTGTCCACCACCGGGTTCGAGGGTTGCCGCTGCGACAGGCACCGACAACCTTGCGGCCACAGCTCCGGTAAGCTGCCTCAACAATAGAGGCATGGAACATGGACCACTAGGACTCAATGTCCCCCACCTCCCCTGGAATATGTTCGAAGTTCTCCCGGAGGTGGGAGTTAAAGCTCCGTTTCACAGAAGACTCTGCCAGATGTTTCCAACAAACCCTCACAATACGTTTGGGCCTGCCAGGTCTGACCAGCATCCTCCCCCACCATCAGAGCCAGCTCACCACCAGGTAGTGGTCAGTGGACAGATCCGCCCCTCTCTTCACTCGAGTGTCCAAGACATGTGGCCGCAGATCAGCTGAGATGACAACAAAGTTGATCATCGAACTGTGGCCTAGGGTGTCCTGGTGCCAAGAGCACATATGGACACCCTTATGCTTGAACATGGTGTTTGTTATGGACACAAAATACACACAAAATAACAATTTTTATGCAGCATTTCAGGCATTTGTGTACACGACAGCATCGCTTGTTGTCCCCAGTTGTGGACTGAAGAGGGGAACTGGAAATGCCCTTTGCCTCCCCATCCATCTGTTTCTTCATGTTGTGAGCATGATAGCTTAAAAAGTGAGGTACTGACTTTCAATTTGGTGCAAAGCTGCATCTAGGCGTAAGAAAGGGTCCTTTCAAAAATTGGGTTGCCACATCAAAATCCAAAATGGCTGCCACCATTTATATATGTAAAAAGGCCACGCTGATCATTTGAGGAAGCTATGCTTTCTAGTTTTTATATTGCTTAAGAGTCTAGTTTCCTAAAATTATTGGGGTGCCCAAAGATTGCTCAATGGTGGCCAAGGCCACCATTGGCCACCCCCTGGCTCCTCCATTGCACCTGGTCATGGATAACGTTGCTTCTTCCACTTGGCAGGATCTGTCACTCTGTGCTGCCTCGGACAAGAAAAAAACAAGCAAACAACCTCTGTTCTCATACACCTACCAACTTGTATATCTTGCACCAAAAACATTAAGGTTTGTTTGCATTCCCTGTTCAATTACAGTCTAGAAAAACACTAATTTCAAAAATGACATACATTTACTATTTAAAACCGGCAGCGATGAGTGACATTGGCATACCGCTTGTCAAACACGGCACTCACAGCATTGGTTGTCAGTCTCCATGATCCTACGTCCCTCTCCATTTTAAAGCACTGCTTTGCTCTGGCTTATGGGCAGCTGTGGCAGAGCGGTTAGAGTGGTCGTTCTCCAAGAGTTGGGGGGTTTGATTCCACCAGCAGTCATCACATGTTGAAGTGTCCCTGGGCAAGACACTGAACCCCTCATTGCCTCCGATGTATGTCCCATCAGTATATGAATGAGATGAAACACTGATTAGTCTTTGATCTAGTAGAGTGCTCTATGAATGGGTAAATGAGGCACAGATTGTAGTGTAAAGATCT